TGAGCGGCCAGCGTTGCGGCGTTTCACGCCTGCGCGCGGGCCGTCCCATCGCGCTTCTTTTTGTTCCCGCCTCGTTAGAGGGCTTGGGCGAATAATAGGAGAAAGGGAACTGGGTTTCTGCCAATCGTTGTACGGGTGGGTGAGGTTGGAGGTGGGAAGAGGAAATGGAGAAAAGGTATGAGACCAATGAGAGGGCGGGTAAAGGTAGGGAGGCGGGACGAAAGGAGCAACTAATAGAAAATCAGGAAGCTGAACCTCCTGGCCAATAAAAATGGCGGGAGAGTGAATGACCGCGGAAGGAGGCGGGTACTGTGCGAGAAGAGGCGGGCCTGGCTAAAATAAACGATAAAAAGGCAGCCAATGAAAAGGAATAGGCGGAGGTCAAATTGACAGACAGTCACATCTATTTGGGCGGTGACAGACAGCATCCGCAGTCAATAGGAAGAGCTGCGATATCCTTTACGTCTCTTAAGAAGGTCAGAAGGAATGACAGCTGGGGGACGGGCCAAATTTGCAATTATTTGTCTCGTCAGCCAATGAGCGCATTCTCTCACTTTAGCCACAGGCCAAAGGGGAGGGGTGCTGCCAGCAGGCGGTGCCAGCCCAGGGATATCGGTGACAGCCGGAGACTAGCGCCAGAGGGAGGTGACAGTTGGGGACAGCGCGGAGTAGAGACGGGGGGCCGGGAGCATTAGCGAAACCCTTAGCCAATCAGGATGCCGTGCTGCCCTGCCCGAGTCCTTTCTGGGCCCCCATTCTCCAGCCAGCTACCGATCTCCCCTCGCTCTCCCCCACCCTGGTGGCAGGTGAGGTCCTGAGCTCTGACACAGATCCAGTGCCCCATCCAGCGCTCTCCACCTTCGCTCTATCTGTCTGAGTCTCACCCCGGCTCCCAACCAATTCCTACACTTCAAGCCCAGGCGACTATAGCCCAAACCTCCAGTGGCCAATTTCTCTGAATCCGCCATTTCCTGTGGGAATCCCAAGCCCCCGGTCCTCACACCTCATCCTTTCCATTTGCCCCATTCTAGTGGGGATCCCAGACCCCAAACCATGAATTCCCAGTACCATGAAATCTTACATCTGTGTTCTTATTCTTTCGGTAATTCAAAACCCTTCAGTCAACCACTATCCCCTCGTTGCCACCCTTCTCTGTGCTCATTTTCTGCTAAGAAACCAGACCCCAATCTTATGAGCGCCCCCGCCTATCCTAGGCGCAAACACAAAGTCCTGTCTTTCTGAGCCTTTTCTCCCTCTGACCCTCATTACCCTGAGCTCCCGGCTTATATGCTGATTTCCATAGAGTCCATCGTCTTGAAACTTCAGTCAGGCCTAACGCCCCTGTCCTCCTGGGTTTCTGAGTTCCAGAACTGCCCCCATTCCGTGTCTGAAATATATTGCTCCTGCTCTCCTTCTCAACTTCCCCACTTTCCAGTTGGCCCAAGCTTCCCCCCATTCCTGTCTTTGGAGTTCTCCTCGCCTCCCAGAACCCAGTAATAAGTGGGTTTCCCCTTGGCCTGGCCCCCCATAGTAACCTTATAAGGTGAGGCAGCTGTCGAACGAGGCAGGGAGGGGCCAGTTCAGTAGGCCAGGAGCAGCTGCTAAGTTTAGGGTGGTTTCTTCTCTCTTCTTAGAGACAACAGGTGGCTGGGCCCCAGTGCCCAGAAAAGAAAATGTCTTAGAGGCATTGGCATGAGGCTGGAGGAGGGAAAGGGAAGGAGGCACCTTGCTCAGGACATTGGGTCCTAGAGGGAGCAAGAAGAGGAGGTGTCATTGCCAACCTGGGGCCTCCTGGAGCTTCCTCAGCCAATACTGCCCCAGACCTCCACTGTATGGAGGCGACGGGACGCCGAGGCCTAGAGGGGTGGGAGAGAATACCTCAAAGTCACAGTCAGCCAAGCGGGGTTTTGTCCAGAATGGATTGAGAAGCCACTGACCATTCCAGGCAGCCAAGAGGAGGTGACCAACTAATTTCTCTCTTCGTGTCTCTGACTCCCTTCCTCTGAGTTCTAACTTTCAAGCTAGAATCCAAATAAATGGTTATAGACTCACACTAGACTATGCCTTTCTCCTGTTTCAAAGCTTTTCAAGGCTCCCAAGGTCTCAGCTCCCAGCCTGGCATTGAAGGCCCTCCAGTTCCAGCATCAGAGGTTTCTAGCCCCTCTGTTCATGCCCCATCACGATTCTGGCAACCTGAACACTTCTGATCTTTTGCTTCTCCAGGCCTTTGCCCATCCATACCCTCTGCTTGGCACGCCTGCTCCTCCATGTTCACCTGGCTCACCTCTACTGATCTTCATAAACTCATTTTTATGCTCCTGGACAGGGCTGCTCTGCATTTATCCTGTCTTCATGACTGGACTGTAAGTTCTAAGGCAGGGCCTAAGTTATAATATGATTAGATTTCACTAAACTGTTTCCAAATAGTGTTCACATCCACAAGTTCTGTGGGATGAGAGTTAAATTCCATTTTACAGAAGGGGAAACCAAGGCCCAGGGAGTTAAAGCACAAAGCCCAAGATGACAGAGCAGCCTCTCTGCCCTAGGCTGTCTAGTCTCTTCATACCTAGTGATTCCACGTTCTATATCTTTCCTCACAAAATCCTCCTTCTCTGCCCTAATCGGTTTGGCTCAGTGGATAGAGCGTCGGCCTGTGGACTGAAGGGTCCCGGGTTTGATTCTGGTCAAGGGCATGTACCTTGGTTGCGGGCACATCCCCAGTAGGGAGTGTGCAGGAGGCCGATGATTGATGTTTCTCTCTCATTTATGTTTCTAACTCTCTATCCTTCTCCCTCTCCCTTCTTCTCTGTAAAAAATCAATAAAATATATTAAAAAACAACAAAAAAAAAAACAAACATGATCATAATTTACGCTTTTCACACTTCCCACTAGCACAGAATTTAAAATG